ATATATATATATGAAATCAAACATAAAATTTGTTTATTCATTTAAATGTGCCTGATTTCTCTGTTTTTCAGTTTACCTGCCTATACTCCAAACTTGTTGGACATGAAGATCATCAAGTACGCCATGAATTACTTAGTCTTTTCTATATTGTTTATAAACAGTGTTCAAATACTATTGCTCCATTAATTGAAGATATCATGATTGATCTAATTCAAATTCTAATAACTGATCCGTATGACGTGTGAGTTTACGTATTCATTGAACCATTCACATGATATAGTTGACTTTAAAATGAATCCAGTTCACTATAATGACTATTCATTTAGCCTGTCCTGTTATTTCCAAAATTGTATGCTCTAATCTGTGCAGTTTGTGCAGGAAAGAGGAAAAACGAATCGTTTGTGACAGGACTTAGAATATACTTGGTTACAAACTTCTGTGGTTAAATTTTTATTTGTGCTCATTTGCAGTATTGGTTTACTTTCACGAAGAGTCCATAATTATTTGATGCTAACGATGAATGAGAAATATATGGATTGCCTGAAATACCGCTTGCATATGTTATCTGTTAAAATACCTAGAGAAGCCACTGTAAAAGGAGATGTTGAAAAATGCTTAAAACAGGTATTACAGAAATGGCATATTGTTTGTAGATCAGCAATATAAGTTTTTTCAAAGTCTTGTTTGATGCACTAGAGTCTTACGTACTCTGACTAATGGTCACAGTTAAAAACACTACTGTATTGACTTCTTAAATGTAAAAGATTTGTCTTTCAGTCTTTTTGAAACTCCTTAGAATACAAACTAAATGGTCGTGAGTAAACTTTCAGTTGCTAGGTGTGTTAATCAATATGAATTCTCTACGCGGTAGTTTCTTGTTGGTTGGAGAAACGGCAGAGTTGTTGATTGTTGCTCTCTCATCCTGTCTTCAGCTAAATATCAGACGAGTTAGTTTGAATCGTGAAGTCATCGAGGCAGCTGACATTTTTAGTGAGTTGTATTATTCATTTCCATGACAAACAGTTTAAGTTATAGTAATTTTTCATATAAATAATGAGTTTCATGACAAATGTGATGTATTTTATCGTTCACCTCATCATATTTAGATCGATAGTAAAAATTTCAGTCTTTGAGTAAAAATTGAACTGTATATAGCGTTTTCGGACACTAATTTGTTCTGAGCTGCTCCCATAGAGTATTCAGATAAAATTCTTTGAAATAACAGGTTTGTTGGATGACCTTCCACTTTCACTTGATACCAGAAAGGGAACTGTCGCTGAGATTGCTATACAGTTGATCAAAAATGAACAAGCTCATGCAAGTCATTTTAATTTGTTTTGAGCTTCGTCTCTATATTAAAATGTCTTGTAGAGTTTTTTCAAGTTTCCGACGTTTTTCAAAATTTTTTTTTAGGATTCTATTTACATTTTTTCAACAAGACATTTTAATAGTCATCATTTTGCATCATCATTGATTTTATAGAGGATATTTTTTGGTAAGATGGATGACAGCCAGGACTTTAATTAAAATATTCGATATCTAAAGCATTATGATCCAGTTCTTGATGTTTAGGTATTGTTAGATTGTATTTCTGCTATTGTTGCAAACTCTGAACGATCAGAAACGTTATCAGGTTGCTATCACCTTGCTGCTTACTTTTTACAAGCATTTTCTACTACTGTTATGGATTCACCAGAAAAATTTATCGATACTCTTCAAGTCTTAGTCGAGCAGTCAGTAGCACTGTTGCAAAAAATTGATATACATCCTTCATCAAGAGATGATTTCATCGAAGGTAGCATTCAAAACATTTTAATAAAAACATGATAGCAAATTAAAACATTAATTCAGCGTGGGCTTATAACCTGAGTTAGTATAGTTTTAATACAAACTGCAGATGACAACTATGAGCAGTGTGCTGAGAGTTGTTTAGCTACTATATTACTTTCATTCTGTGCAGCTGCCTTCACTTGTACTCCTTCTATTTTCGTCTGTCAAAAGGTTGGTTTTTTGATTTCCAGTCAGATATGAAAGCAGTCATCAAAATACAAAATTTTCGTGCCTGGGAATTCGGAATAGTCATTATTAAGCAGTATGTCCGGAGTTTTTTAGAATCTGGTTTGAAAAAGTTTGCTTAAAATGTCTAGTACGACTGAAAGAACGATGCATTCTCCAAAAATATCGTTTGCACATATTTAAATAGCCGTTATCAGAAGGATTCTCATGAAATTATTTTTTGATTTATATTGCTCAGTTGCAGTTAATGATTCAGTCTTTGTTTGAAATATTCAAATGGACAGGATCATCATATTCGGTATGTGCAGAAAGTGCTGAATATGCGTTGAAAGCCGCTGTTTTGGTTTGTTTTACTTCATTTAATTAATCACCTTGTCGCTACATAAGAATATTTGCTGACATAATGACATTATTTCTTGTGCTGATCAGACGCACAATAGATTTTTAGCTCCTGGAAATTTTTTTATGGCAAAATATTTTCTGGTTTTTGACTTTCATTACTGCAGTATATATTTCTTTCGTATAAATTGCTGCTACATAAATATTTACAGTAGAGTTTTGGTATCTTCAAACTTTTCACTAATTCGGTTTTTTCTTATTTAGGAAGAATGAAAAGAAGTAAAGTATTTAAATTAAGATCCATGACTTTTTAGGCTGCAAGAGAAGTAAATATATCATCATTATGTCTAACTTATGCAAAATACTTGTTACCGAAGGTAGCAATTTGCTGTAGAACTTATGATAACAATCTTCGTGCCCCTTGTGTTCTTTCTTCACTACTCGATCATTGTGATAGTTGTCATTTATTTGACAGCGCTAATCATGCTGTTCAAGAACTTTTAGGAGTAGTTGATTCAGGTTCACAGGTATTTAATGCCAAATTTACAATTCTGCTTTTGCGTATGTTATGATGCGTACATGTGTGAAGAATTTATTTAGAAGTGGCTGATTTTGATTCTAAAAGCGTTGCTAAGTTTTCAAAAGGCTGTTGGAATATGGTTTTCTGATGTTAAGCCTGAAGAAGTGCAGTTTAATCAAGATAATGTAGATGAAAAAGCTGTGAAACCTGATTTCGTTGAATCTGTGAACACTGTTTCAAAACGGTATTTTAACTCAGGTTTTAACGGTTTTGTAATTATCTTTTGGCATTAATAATATGACTGTTTCAAATTCTCCTAGTTACATCATTCTGTAAAATTTGCAAACCTTAAATTTCCGATACTTGCAGAACTCAGCATCTTTTATTCTGTTCTCATATTCGAATTCGCATTTTGGTTCTAAAAATTTTGGATTCATGTATGAAAAACTTGCGACATTTTCCGGATGATCATCTCCCCATGATTCATCATAATTGGCCTGCAATTTTAGACTGTCTCGTGAACGAAGATTTCAGTTTACGAGTGGAGGCATTCAAAGTTATTTTTGTTCATCTCTCGCCTCCTATTACAGATCCAAATTCTGTAGGAGGGCATTAAAAGTACTGTATGTAAGATATATAAGCAGTGCACTGCAAGTGCTTTAGACTTGCAGTGCACTGCTTATATATCTAATGAAATTACCAATGATGGTACTTTCATTATGAACATCATAATGAAAGTACCATCATTGGTAATTTCATTATGATGTTCATATTAGTAACAAATGTTCATATTAGTAACAACAGTAATAATAGTATATGTCAATAGTAATAAAGTTCTAGTTGCTTAAATCTTTTTAACCATATAATTTAATTTCTGTACTCTACAATTTTTATGTGGAAGTAACAATGAAGTTGTTTATTGAGTAATTATTCTCTATGAAGACCAGTATTTATGAAGAGTTCAATCTTTCATAATTATACTTATCCGCTTAATAACCATTTTTTGTTATATTCTTGCTCAAAAATACAATTTGTCAGTTGTTCTAGTTTCTAGGTCCTTCGGACAATGTGCGAAATATCTGGTAGTTTTTGCTATCGCCGTATTATTCCATCCGTATGGCCATCAGTTCGAGAATTTATGATTTGTCAAGGTGCTAAAAGTGTCAATGCGCAGAGAGCCTATTTGTATTCTTCTACTTATAAGTATCAGGAAGTTGTTTTGGAAAAGTAAGTTCAAAAATTTTTTAAAACTTTCTGTGGGATGTAGTGCACTTGTGTTCCAATGTAAGAGATTAGCTAGAAAGATAGCAAAAAGTGTTGAAGTATCTAAATCGCCTTTTTCTTTATGAATGAGATTTTAACAAACAAAAAGTTTTCTAGCTGTAATATCTGTTGGTTTGTTTGATTTTTAACTCTTTTTGTTGAATCAGTTATTGTGATGCTGTTATGTCATAATTTGGTGAAATATTCCTAGTTTGGGCGTTATTTTTCGTCATATTGAACCAAATGAAGTCGACTGGAAAAGTGTTATGATGTTAGCTTCAGTATACTGTGATGATGCACAACCTGAAAAATTGAAGCATGCTGCTGAGAGTCTGCTTTCTCTTTGTGAAGAAGAACTCCATGAGAACGTGTAGTCGAAAAAGTGATCAGCATATTTTGTTTCTTTTACATGAGTATTGTAAGAATTTTTTCTCACAAATCGCTCCATAAAATTGTTTAATTACCTTGAAATTTTTTTCTCTCATTTCGAAAATTGTGTTCTCAATACTTGATTAGTATTTTCTAGAAAAGGTTGTATGATAAAATATTCACTTTATCACTAATGTTTCTTCATTTGATCGCTCTCAGAAAGTCAGGATTCGCTCAATATCAATTTATGTGCTATTGAAATGTCCCTCCGAATTTTAGTCTTTTGAAATATTATGGTTGAGGATGTCATTCCATCAGAAAACAAGTATTTTCGAAATCATTTTCTTAAGACATAGTTGTTGAATGTTATAATGCGAAAAGTCTGCAAGCAATTGGTCGTTCTTTTCTTTCAATTATTTCAAATATAATGTCAAGATGAGGCATAGTAGGCTGGGGACGAGAGATTGAGTCTTTGCAAATGTATATTTTCAGTAGTGAGGAATTAAATATATTGTGGGAGATTGGATTATCTAGACGAATTCGATAAAGTCCTGTGTTAACGGTTACATTTCATTGTTGACCCTGTTAAAAGTTGTATGACATCCTAACTTTCATCTAAGTTATGCATGATTTGGGACCTTATAGGACGTGAGTTGTGTGAAATTAGAACTTATTCTGTCTTCATAACCTGTTCAGGTTTAATATTGTTCTTTTCATATTCCGTGTGACGATAAGAATTTTCAAATACTTTTGTGTGTGAGGCTTTATTTTGTGATGTCATTGTATAGATTCCCAAATTTGGTTCAGTTTCATCTGCTGCGCTTGATGCTGTGATCCTCTCTATCAGAACGCGATTTGAAGAAAGAATCAATCATTTTTTCTTATTTTATTTCAATTATAGTTTCTGCTCCTCATTGTTAGGGAATAATTGATAATTTATGGCTGTTTATCCAAAACTGCAAATCATAACCGGTTTTTCCTGATTAGTTTAAAATCTCATATTAAGAACGTTATTCGGAAATCAAAATTTCAGAAAGCAGTCTCATATTTAGATCATATCGCGGTGAATGAGGCAGACATTAAATCGAAACAAATTGAAATCGTACATGGCGTTGTTAACTAGGAAAGCCTTGTACGAGTGTATTTTAATATTTTCATTTGCTAAAACGTACTAGTAACTAAAATTTCTTCACAGTTCAGATATTATAAGGAACAAAATACTTGCGATTGTATGTTTAATTATATTCGGATTTCTTCAACAACTAAATCATCTATTTTTGAAAGTGCGAAAACAAGAACATTAGTTAAACACTGTGAAACAGCCTATTTCATAGGTTGTGTCTGTGATTTCTGATTTTTGGTCAGTTACTGTATCTACCGATGAGTGGAATGGAAATGTTAGCTGACTGAAGGTAAGCAACATTAGAACTTAGATCCTTCTTTTCCCTAGTTAAATTTTTACATCCAAAGTATCGACATGCAGGGGCCGAACAGATAACCTTTCTTAACTTATTTCTTATATAAGTAAAGATGAAATTCTGAATTTAGCCTTCGCCATTTGTTGCGAATACATTGGGAAAGATGTTTAAAAGCATACATTCACCATTTTTGCAGTACTATGAATAACATGATAAGGAATTTAAAAGTGGTAATCAATACTCTATTTTTTTACTTTCTGGTCAAGTCACGCAATCAGATAGCTGAAATTAAAATACAGACAATTTTCATGCAGACATATTCGTAAACATCAATAATAGTTTGTTCCAATCAGATGTTCATTTCAGAAAATTTAGTACTTCAAGATAACTATACTATGGAAAATAAGTAAGCACTATTTCATTTTTTATTGTATTGTTATTTTGCTCCAAAGCTTCGTTTTTAATGATACGAACATTTGCCTTCATTGATGTAACGATTTTTACTTTTAATTAATACATGTGCAGTATTTCATTATATGGCGTTTTGAACTATAAAGTGCCCTGTTCTAATACTGATCCCCAGCAATAATGTCAGTAGCAGAAACGTTCGAAGTATTTATTATTTTAAAAAAATTGCTTGGTAATCATTATGAATTCCGAAGAGAAGGAAAAAAATAGTGCAGTTAGCGATGAAAAATTACAAGCTGGTCAGTATCCAGTAGAACCGATTACTACATACCACATCTTCACATAATATCTACAGACTATGCACCGTATCTACTCGTCACATTCACATACTATCCACCAAATCTACACATCACATCGACAAACTATGCACCACAGTGAATTCATGAAAACATTATTCAACATCAAGAACTAAATGAAAATTTTGGGAGTTATATGATTATCTCTAGTATTCACTGATTTTAGTACTATCCACTGCAATTTCATTTGTTTATTTCTGCCTCAGATGAATATCCTTCTGTGGATAGCGTTACACAAACAATAAGAAGCTCATTAAATGTGATCAAAAATGGAGAACGACGGACTTTTTGTGCTTTGCTTCATTTGTGATTGTAATTATTTGATAAGAATGATCTTATTGCCTTGACATGGAAGATTAAATCAGTAAATTGTACGGGAATATATCATCTCTACCTTGATATAAACATTTTCGAAAAAATAATAGCCGACAAAATCAATATAATCTGGATCCGTTAGCTGTAATAAAATGTTTAATACATACGAAACATCGAATAATCTTATTGCCTCAATAACAAAAACTGAAGAAATGAATCGCACAGTGCTTAGAGAATTCGTACGTAATGCATCAACTAAATTACTCATACAACGTATGAGACCTATTTTTTCATGTTGGCTTCGATACAATTTTACAAAAGCGTTTGTTTTATAATTCAAATTTTTATCTCATGAAATGTAATCTTTTTGGTAGATGAATGATGTAGGTAGGACATTGGGTTCGGTGTAACTTATGACCCTTCTATATGCTTTATGGACTGTCATGAACAAGTTAATTTCATTGATTGTGAGAACAACGTATGAGCTTATCGCTAGAACGTATTGCTGGATGAGATGGAACTTGCAGAAAAGTGATATTTTTTGAGATAATCAATAAAGAAAACTAACAATGGGACGATCATTAACGAAAAATGATCAAGCTAGGTGTGTTATTATTATGGCCAAGATTGGTTTATTTCTTCTCATTCAATAGGTTTTCTAATTCTCGTCTTCAGTAATTTCCGGAGATTTTGTTCAGAAGTTTTGTTATCTCCCTGTTCTTCTCAATTTTAACTTTTCTACCAGAAGCTTTTTCTTCATATTTTTGTCAGGTGATAATGCTCCCCTCGAAAACTCTTTTTTTTCATAATAGCGGTAAGGACTTGGTGTTCTTTGCACTAATAAAATTGATTGAATTATAGAATTATAATTGATAGGCTGCAATATGCTAAAAGCACTTATGCCACGTCATTAATAGTTCGTTTTGTGTTGTAGAGCTCAGTCGGCTTATTTACTGCGTAAGGTGCACGGTCGTGGAATTATGAAGCAGCTTACGGCTACTGAGAAACGGAGACGAATGATTGAGGCTGGATCGAAATATGCGTGAGCATATAAATTAATTTCATATTCTATCCAATCCTTTCAAGATACAAAAGTAGCATGCCTGAAGTTTTGTTGAGATATGCTGAATTGATAGCGTATGTTTGACCATTAAAACTAGCACAAGTATAAAACCAAGCAACCATAATTCATGAACAAAGTTACTTGAGAACGCGTTTGCAAAGTTTGAAAAAAATTGGTCTGAAAGCAGGGCATACCACAAATTACCTAAAAGATTTTCTTTAGGGCCTTGAATCGTGAAAATGCTCCCGTGAAGTGCAGTAGAAGTGTTAATTGTGCTAGCGCAGCGAGTAACATGAAAGACAATGTTGTAGTTACTGCTGTAATGTTTTCACTCTTATAAAGAAACACGGTGATTGGTAAACTAAGCTGAACATAATATTAGTTCACATTCGTCTTTCATTTATTTGTTAAGTATCTTCGTGGCTGTATTGCGAAATTTTTAAGACTTCAAGTGCAAACGATAAAATGAAGTTTCGTAATGCAGCTACTCCTACTCTTTCTACAATAAATGAAACTTTTGTACGCGATGATGCGGCTTTGAAGAGTATTTTAAATAAATGTATGCCTTGTTCATTTACGAGACGAGCGTCTATTTATGTAAGTCCCTTTTTGCTGCAGTTAGTGAAATTTTTTGACGTATTGATGAATGGTATGACTTCAGCTATCTTTATAGAATAATTGGCCTGAAATATTAGATTCTAGAATATTTAGTTTTCGCTACTTGCATATGATTCCAATTTTGTGGCTTCATGTTTGCTAGTTACGAAAGCCTCAGTTTTTTGTACTTGAATTGGACTATTATTGCATTATATTCTACTGTTACCATGGGTTTTTTAAGCGGAATCGTGAGAGGCCATCACTTTTTCCAAACGGAATCAATCCTTTGGATGTAGCAGCTGCCAAATTTGCAAAATCTGGATCATTGGGATCGTGCGACACTCGATTACTTACTTCAGCACCCATTTCTTCAAGGGAAAAAGATGTATCCATGTCGGCGACATTGTGTTCTGTAATGGGCGGGCTGAAAAAAACACCTTTAAGTCTTCTTCCTGACATCATTTTTTTTTATTGGCTTATAAAGATAGAAGTTGTGCAAGTAACACAAATTATAATGAATGCAAGAGCTGTGTTGATTACGCTGTTGCCATTTTTCAGGGTAAAACTGTTGTTGATTACACTGTTGCCATTTTTCAGGGTAAAACTGTTCGGTTTGATGAAAGCATTAGTTTTCAAAGTCCGAAGAACTGCACGCAGACTTTTCCAGAGCATGTTGATAAAACGAGTTTCGAATCTACTGTAGGTTTTAGACGTAAAAGTTGCGGTTTCACTCTTTTTATATCATGTGTTTGTTCTAGGATAAAGTGATTTTGGATTTGACGCAGAATTTCGACGATATGTTGAAGAAGATAAGAGGTTTATCAGCTTGTGTTTTCAACAATTTGGCAAAAGCTGTGCATCAAGTCGCTGTTGAGAAGTCTATGTAAGTTTTAAATAATTTTTCAAATTGCTTTTAAAAGGCAATGTCAAGTATTTCTCATTTCTAAGAATTGTTATTTTTAAATGGTAGCAATGAAATAAAATTTCTTATTTCTTTCAAGCAGTATAACAATTGTGATTAAAGTTGTGGTGAGCAGTTTATATTTGTAGTCTGAGTATTCAGATAAATGCTAAGTTAAAAGGAAGCACTGAATATGAAAGATGGAGTTTCGGAAAAATTTCAGGATGCCTTGCGAAGGACATAAAATTCTGTCGGATTCATCAGATGTTTCAACGTTAAATGATAAAAATTGCTTGATGTCAGAAAAGTGCACAACTGATTTAAAACAAGACTGCATCGCATTAAAGACGACACGTATGAAGTAAGAAAATCAAAGTCTGAAAAGTCCTTCCATGATTTAACGTTTCAACTTCAATGGGATTGTTTTATTGACAGTTTAAAAATTGATAGGTTAGAGTTGAATATAAAGATGATGTAATATACTCTCATTGTATGTATAATTAAATCTATGACAAGTAATGGACTACAGTGTAAATATTGTATTGTATTGCAGTCAAATAAAATATACAATGAAACAGTCACAGGGATAACTCCGAATTTGAACAATAAAAGTGAGTACGGGAATCGTCAATTATGTATATGAACTTGAAATATCGTTCATCAGTATCAAATTAATAGAAGCTTTATATATGAACTTGAAATATCGTTCATCAGCATCAAATTAATAGAAGCTTTATTGGTAACAAATAAATTTAGGAATTTTCTGTTCTTTAATAATTTCAACTGGAGTTGTATGTGCGATGATAAACTGTCATACCAGAACCTGAACGGCTGATAATTCTTAAATGCACATCAGCAATATTATTAATATTAGATTCATTTCCGCATAGTCAGGATTTCTTCTGTGTTCTTCGCAAAAATTGTGAGATCGAAAAAAGCCCGTTGATGAAGAATATGGCTCATGCAAAGAAAGCAAAAATTCTTGATTGTAATAATATAAGTATCCTTTTTCATTATGAAATCGTGAACTAATTATAACCTTTGCTTGGAGAAGCTCAAAGTGAAACTGGAAGATAGAGTTCGTATTCATAAGACTGGAAGGTAATTGTGTGTCGAAATTCATAATAGTAAGGTTGGAAAGTCCACGAGGTCTGTTACATACATAATATTTCGCCACTACCTACATAGTTCAGCCGATAGTTATGCTACTGTGATTGGGCTTTGTCCTGTGTTGTAATAGTGTAACCTTAGTATTTGATTAATGATGTTCGCCTTAGCTTTATTTAAATCTTAGTGGAAACCTGTTGACTCTTGAGAACGTGCCAAGATATTATTGGCATTGGCCTTGTTTCATTTCCTTATGTAATTACTCATTTGTTTTGTGACTAGGGACAGATGCAAATTGTAAATCGCTATTGGATATAGACAATGATTGCGGATGCATGTGAATATTTTTGTTGAACAATCTTTGTCCAAGAACAATGTGCTAATATTTTTACCACATTTGGTTTTACAACGTTCGCTGACGCGAAGTAAAATAACTGAACGAAGAAAGCTGCTTAGCAATCACTTATTGGTTCCTTGTTTGGTTGAGATATTCTGTTCTTCAAAATCTTTTGCAGTGGAGATATGTAACTGACATGCTTGGGTTGGAAAGAAAATGGTAGTAAATCAATATTCCCAGTTTTTATATGAATTATTCTATTAAAATTGGGCTAGGCGACCAACGTGTACACGAATTATACAGACTCAATTCAGCATAGTAAGGAACTGAATAGATCTGCGAAATCGAAATGCTAATTTACGATAACCCATTTAGAACAGAACCTATTGGAACTGCTTTATGACGTGTAGTTAGTCCTGAACACTTTGAACATTTCTAACTGCAAAACAGTATTTCGCGGCTGGCTGATGTATCCAAAGCCGTGCTAGCGTTGGCGAAGCATTATTAAGTATTTAACTTTGTGTTTATTTCTTATTTTGAGCAACAGTCGTAGGGACAGCATTTCCTTTGCGCTGTTGCTGATAATTTCGCTTTTCAGAAGCTACAGGATTTGCAGGAGAAATACAATAGGTTAATAGTATGGTCATTGGAACTTCGCCACAGGTTCGCTCTTTTGTATCTGTAGAATATCTTTTCTCTTTTGTCTTGAGTTTCGTTTTATTTGCAGTTTCTTTCTATTTTTATGGAGCAGTCTTTCTCGTAATTGGGCAAATCCAGCTTTTTGCTATTTAAAAATATTTGGTTTTTTTTTTCTTTTTTTAGCAAATGCTCTAACAACTTTTATCTTGTGTATCGATTTTATCGAAAATTAGAAATTTTGAACAAGTTGTCATTACTTCTTGTGGAACTAGGCAAAGAATATGCATGTATTATGAAAGAAGTTATACGTTAATAACACAGTACATTTTTTTAAAGACCTATAACTGGCATAAAAATTCGATTAACATTATGTGACAAATTTTTTCATCAGAATATTATCAATACAGTTTTATTAAGAAGTAGATCTGTAGTTTGATCCAGTCTGTTGGCACATAATTTTCTCATAAAAGTTTTTGCTACTGCTTGTCAAGATATTTTCAGGAGAAGTTAGATGATGTAGATAGTTATCTCGCAAAACAAGATGGGATGATTATACGAGAAAAAGATCCACATATGTGTCATCATGGGACACGTCAAAAATGTACTTATTGTTTACCACTGGATGTACGTGTTTACGAAAAATTTTATTCTGATTTGATTGTAAATTTGAATCAATTCATCACTCAGTTTTCGTCAGCCTATTCGATCTTATTTCTTCAGAAAAATTATATCATCGGTCAAAAAACGTCTTTTAACTGTATTCGTTTTTCATAATATACAAAACCGTGTCTCAGCCCCTCAAAATCCTTCACTGCCACTATTCAAGTCGTAAAAAACTTATTTTCTGTGCAAAGTTTTAGCCTTACGATGAGGAATATTTAAAAAAGAAAGATATAAAACATATGTCTTTCCATGCATACGTGCGTAAATTGACAGCTAGTCATGGCAAAGGAACGCAACTGAAAAAACCGTTGGAAAATATTGTATGTTCATTGAAATTAGATTGTCCATGTCATAAACCCTATCCGCTGGGAATCTGTAGCAAATGTCGACCTCCGGTAGTAACGCTAAATCGACAGGTATGTTCCTAGTAGTATTGATAACTGTTATTGCATGGTTTACTTGATTTGCAGAAGTGGTTTATATTTAAAGTAGGAGATGGTATGCAGTCATTCTTTTGTGATGAAGGATTTTTATCTAGTCTCAGAAATTTTCAATGTATCGTTAAAAGTTGAAGTTGACTGAAGGATTTTTAGAAGTTTCATTAAGGCTTTTTATAAAAATATCACTCATTTTATTTTTTATAGCGTTTCCGACACGTCGACAATATATCTATTGAAAATGAAGAAGTTGTTAATCGTTTCCTTGCATTCTGGCGTAAAACTGGTCGCCAAAGATTAGGTTTTATGATTGGTCGATACGAACCTTTCCAAGAAATTCCGCTTGGTATCAAAGCAACAGTTGCTGCCATTTATGAGCCTCCACAAGTTTTTGTTTTCTATCTTGTTATGTAGATTAATTGCTTTTTTGTAGTATATCATTTTGTTACGAATAAATTTAATCTGTTTCAGACTTGCTCGGCTGATGCAGTCAGTTTAGAGCCTGATCTACAAGAAGGAATAGTAGATGAGCTTTGTTCGTACCTTAATTTAAAACGTGTTGGTTGGATTTTTACTGATTTGTGGTCTGCAGATTCAACTAAAGGCACGGTCCATTGTACAAGACACAAAGTTATTATCTTTTGACCATTTTTTAATTGTTTTTGATGGCATAAAACTTGTGATAAAAGTCATCCATTTCATTATAGGACTCGTTTTATCTAACTGCAAAAGAGTGCATCACAGCGGGTTGGTTACAGAACAAACATCCTAATATCACAGTATTTTGTGGTGATGGCTATTTTGGTTCAAAATTTACCACAGTTGTTGCTTCAGGTGCGATTTTTGAGGGATAGCATGAATTAAACATTTTGTCAAGTCAAATGAATGTTTTGATGTAAGAATGTGCTTGGGTCATTTTATTGTTTTCAGCTATTGTAAATCAGCTGTGACCATCCTAAGAGTTTTTCAAAGCTTAATGAATACGAATTTTCACAATATATATTTATTTATATTATATATACATAAAGAGGGAGAGAAGTTTTAAATTTCTAATCAGTAATTATTTGTGTGAGATTCCGAAATTTTATTGCATCAGGAAGTAGTAGCACAAGTTTCAAAATCTTTGCTGAATTGATCAGTCAGTTTCAATCATATTCAGCAAGTAACTTGATTGGAAGTAATCGAATTTTCTTGCTACCGTATTTGAGGTAACGAATGGAACCAAATTGATTTCACTGGCTATCAAGTTTCTAATCAGTGTGCAGCTCTAGTTGAAGCCAATGTTCTTTGTCCAACATCCCATCCTGAATTGGCTTACTTACGAAAATTGCCACTAACTTCTTCACATTATATTACTGATGTCCATTATATGGTATGTCAAATGAAACATGATCGAATGGCTTTGTTCTGAAGTTGGGCATGATTTTTTTCAAGAATTTATTCAGGAATTTCTTCTTTGTCTGAAAATATTTTGGTTTTACGTATTTCCTATAATAAAGATTTTGTCGAAATTCCTTCTGTTGATTTCTATTCCCATTTATTAACTTTGATAATTTCAGATGTCTTCATTATTTTTTTATATCACATATTGTTACGGAACATAATTGTGCGCAAATTCAGGAGAAAAATGAATATGGTGTTGAAACTATTAAAAATGGAAGGCCGATGCCTGTTGAGTACTTGCTTGTTGATGTTCCAGCAGGGATGCCAAAGGAGCCTCACGCCACTTTTAATATTTCTAAAAAGTGTTATTTCCCCACTGAAAACCGTTCTATAATTGGTGAATTACAGGTGAATGATATAGTGAATTTCTTCTTTGCCTCAAAATATTCTGATTTTTGCGTACTTCGTATAATAAAGATTTCGTCGAAATTCCTTACTTTTGTCGATTTCTATCCTCATTTATTAGATTTGGTAATTTCAGATGTATTCATTTTATTTTGTTTATAACACGTTCTGTTACGAAACATAGTTGTGCGCAAATTTGCTAAAGAATATCATTTTTTTGAATAATGATTTTCTCAAATCATTGTAGCTGCTTTTCCATCTTTTAGTGATTGTTGTTTAGGATCCCAAAGCTATCGGGCGATACATATCAGAATTTTCTACCAATCAGTTTCTGGAACTGGCTACGAACTTTCATTTTCTCCTTTTCCTTTTTAGTAATGATGTCGTCAAATTTTCTAAGGTGAGGTGATAATGTTGATGCTCAGATCGAGATGGAGATTAGTGTATCGAAATGTTAATGTAATGAAAGAATGTGGAATTCTCACAACACGTTATTGAAGAGTTTTTGTGACAATTGACATGACTTTCTAGGAAGAAGTAAAGTCTCTGTGTGCTATAATTCAACAGCAAGACAGAGGTAAGGCGATGGATTGGGCATCTAGTAATGCGAATTGGGCGACACTGTCAACATTATGCCTTCATTCATTGCGAGGTAAGTATTCCTTTATCAGTATTTTTGAAAATTTAGGAAGAACTTGGTTTTTTCTAGTGATCTTGTAGGATCATCAGCGGTGATGTACAGATTATTTTTATTTCTAGATTCATCAGGCTCAGATTCAAGTAATAAATGGTCTTGCAAACACTGTACATTTGAGAATTCGGATGATCGGTCAGATTGCTCAATGTGCAGTCTTCCGCGATCAGAAACATGAAAATTGTTATCAGTTGTGCACGTTCTTCATTTACCAACTGTTTTATCTTTGGAATATATCTATCATATATAAGATTTATTTTAGCGAGTATTATGTTGAGTAAAAATAGTTTGGTGAATGTTTCACTATTTCTTGCTTTGAAGTCTACTCGAAATTTAATTCACATCATTATTATTGGTATTGTGTCGTAGTAATTCAAATCCTAACAAAGTTCGTAGTAATTTTGATCGCTAAAAGCATATGTCGTATTCATTATGGTTTGCTTCCAGAAGTGAATATATATTTGATCGATTATGTATAAAAAACCAGAGGAGACATTGAAAATAATTTTTTTTTTTTGTTATTTTTAATTATTCAAACTGTTTGTAATTTTCAAGTATTGAATTACCAATGCCGTAATAAAGTGAGATCTAAATAAAATGATGAGAAAAGGTGACCAGATCGCTAGCAGTATGCTGTTCACATATTTAACGAAATACAGGGGGTACGTTAAAAACGTCGACAATTAGGAAAGATAGCATTTTTGGGGAATCTTGTCATTGTAGGTTTTGAGTGCATTCTATGTTCTTGTTTTTTCACGAATGGTAAATTGTTTTGATGACATGAGGCACGATACCGGTTTTCTGTGTTACTGTTTGAAGGAGGGCTTCGTATTTTTTTTCTGTCGCTTGTAGTGGATCGCATCAGGTCAACAGATTATATCATATCGTTAAATTTAGATTTGATTTTGCAAGAGGATAGCCAATGATCACTAATGATAGATACAGCTTTTTGAACGTGTGGTTGATTGACATATCATACTTGGACTTAGTCATTCGAGAGTACTGTAAAAAATCTAGATGTATTTGAAATTTGTTGAACTCTTTAGTATGTTTCAACGTTAGAAACTGAATAGGAAGGGCAGTTCATTAATTCCAGTGATGAATGGCTGAACAAGTCTCATCATTGTAATTTGAGGCAGCAGTGTTAATCGGTCTCACTTTTATTGCTCTGTATTGGTGTGTATACTCTAAAAACCTTCGGTGTCAATTTTATGCTGCCGAACAGGTTTCTCTTTGACATGCAAAAAAAGGCTACAAAATTGCCAAAATCTAATGTTCTCCCGAACATAGTTGAACACTGGGACCACTGACAACAGAATGCGATTTGGAAGAACCAGATCCAAATTTGGTACCTCTACTGGACTTTGTACTCACATTAATTTTAGAATTTTTCTCGAAAAAAGTCAAATAAAAGTATATTGTCAAATGAGAACTGCGGCTTCATTAGCAGTTTCCTGAGCTCATTAACTTCTAACATGCAACAGTCAATCTTTAGAAGTATTTAGGTTGTGTAGTTACACTAGTTTTCTCCATGACTGAGTAAATTGAGATGATATGCTGCTGTTAGTTCATACGTCTCCTACGCTTAAGCAGTGTCACATTCGTGTGCTTAGATATGACCATCTTTTATCACTGACTTATCACATCAGTTCTTGTTTTATTCTGTAAATGAAACATATCAGGTTGAATGCGCTCAACTGCAAAGTATTCCACGGTCTTCTGTGTACTTGAAGTTTGTTCTAGCCATACATGGCTTGCGGGCTATAGCTTCTATGTTATTGAAAATTGGCTACACCTAAGTCTCAGCTCAAGCGAGCATTAAAAGTTTCATTCTCAACCATGAACTTTATATTTAACGTGACCCACAGTCCCCTCAGCATTATTTCTGATCATGTTATTAAAATCATATAGATAATATGATGCTAGAAACGTAAATACTGCGTATATATAACGATTTTATCAAGGTTTTCCTCATTATTATATAACTTCATAAAAGAGCCTGGCTTACTTCGTGTAACACTCTTCAAGACAGATTTTCTGGGCAAAGTCAGTGTACTTCTGTAAATACAAGAGAACTTCCCTTGCTTTTCATTATTGTTCTTGATCCCATTATGAAATTTATAAACTTTAAGAACATTCCCTAAGATGGGAACCCACTTGTTGAACATCGAGAAATATACGCATTCATGAAAGCGCTTGCACAAACGATCGTTTCAATCGGCCAGGTAAAAATTTCCAGCATGAAGAGGCCTTTAACTTGGTTTACAGAGGTCTGTAATGTTGGCATCAGTACGATAGTAATATGTTCTCTGATTTGATTTGAAAAGTTGGAATCTGTTCATTCAGTTAACACACAATCTGCACATTGAAGGTTTGTGTCCTTGTAAATCATAAGCTATCGTGGAACCATTAATTACTGAAAAAAAAGTAAGAGACTCCATCTCACTCAGTTTATCTTGCTTACTCAACTCGAACTCATTTTTCATAAAGTTTCGAGTTTTAGTTTCCTACTACACCAGTGATTCAAAACCGCACTTCCGACAGCTTCATCTCCGCATTTTCGTTGAGCAGTAACTTACAGTCATGATTAAGCAACAGTTAAAAACCGACTTACGGGACTGAACTTGCTGTACTAGTGATAAAGTTACGAGTGCAGTGTTGGGTCTCAGCAAATGGCAGTTAATATGTGCTAATGCACTCGTGATTTCTACCTTAAAAAAATATTATTTGCAGTTCACGAACGATTTACTCAACAAAAAAAGACTGCTTCTAGACTGCTCTGAATGCAAACGCAGTTGTGCTTGAACGTACCGTCCTGATAGCAGTTACTCTGAACTGATCTATAAACATTTTCAAAAACACTCTTGCGAATGCTCGTATAACTATACCATTGTTTGCTAGCAAGAAACAAAATGCAGCAAGGACACTGTGTTCCTATCAGAGATGGAAGCCATATTAAGAAAGAAAAAACCTATGCGAAAGTCGATTTCGGGGAAGTATTTCCAACTTTGCAAAATGTAATCGTTATACCTCAGCTTTTGTACCATTGGTTTCTTATCGCTGTGACTTTGACACACAAATCGCCCAATTCCTTGTACTTTCATATTCTAATGTATAACATTGTTGGACACGCCGATTACTGCATCTGTACTCAACACTTCAGAAATAATTTTAATATGTTCTATTCATGCATAAATAATAGTTTGAAGCCGACAAGTCTATTTATTTTTCTTTTTCGTTTTTTCAACATCCACAAGAATAAAGCAAATCTCACAGATCTCTTAAAGATTGCCCTATAAACATTGTGCACAAAGCAACCATGAATGATGCAACTTTATACGAACATACGCAAAATTTGCAAGCATAATTTATTAAAAGAATGAAAAAATATTAAACACAATATACTGAAGAAAAATGAATAAAATCCAAAGTCATGGGATACACTTCACGACAAAACTCCTTCAAAACTTTAGGGAGTCTTTAATACAAACAAAGATACCTCAACACACTCAAGCTGGTCAATTTTAACTACGAATTTTTTAATCTGATGCATGACAAAAAATACGTCCAAAAATAGACACTAAGAAGGTAGCGTGAACGGTTTGTATCTTAAATGGTATCAACTAAAACTTCACTCGTGTATTCTTGATAAAAAACAAACAGCATAAGTTAGAACAGCATATGTTCAGTTACAAACAATAGGAACCAAATGAAATTAACCCAAGTTCATCCTCACCCTTACCATTTCGCATTAGAATTGGTGGCAGGTGTACCAGTTCCAGAATTATTACTATTGTTACTCAAAGTACTCCAAAAAGCTTGCCATGCAGCATCCATCATGTCTGGGTTTACATTCATCTTGTTCAAGTTCAAAGCATCTAGTCCAGAAGCCAATGCCTGGCTTGTACCTGAACGCGCAGGAGCTGAATATCGAGGGGAATTGGAGTAGCCAGGTGAGAAACGATTTGATGCTCGCGAATCCGATGAACGATACGTATTACCACGCCAATTATCGATTGAGCGTGGCACCACAGAATCGTACGGATAAGCCTGTAATTTAAATAAAATGCATTTTACATGAGATCAACAAAATTACATTCTATACCATGATTTGCAAAAGCATTTAAACTCTAGACACCAACCGTTTCTGAATATCCATATTTGTCGGAAAATCTACGTGGATGACGTCCTTGGCCCGGAAACCCAAAAGAGGCATTTTGTCCGTATCGTGGAGAAAAATCTGATTCTCTTGGCGCTGCAGCACTTACTGCTACTGACGATCCATCAATAATAAAATCCCCTTGCCTTGAAAAACGAGAAAATGATATCTCACGATAGACATAACGTGTTATAAGCAGAAAATGCTGCCACAACACACCCTGTTTAAAAACTATGAAAAGCCTTCTTTTTGACATGATATAAACAGAAAAACACAACAGCCCGAAATTGAGACAACTGTAACACACTGAAGTCGAAACAAGAGTTGGAAAAAGAGCAAGACTTTCTGATATGAAACGAAATAATCAAAACATGAAAATTGAGCGAATAGAAACTACGTTTTGTTTCCTTTCTTTGTACCTCATGAGTTCCTTAGCAACTGCAGCAGTTGAAAAATTCACAAATGCAAACGACCGAAATGGACGCGGGATGAAAACATCCGTAACCTACAAGAACTTAAACATAATATAACATTTTTTAATTCACAATTCCTCGTCTGATAAAGAAGTACAACTACACACTAGTGCGTTAAATTTGAAACCAGAGCTAGAATTCCAGAAAAATGCTAATAGCTATACTTACAAAAGCATTTGGATCAATTTTAGCAGCTTCGGCATTGAAAAATTTGCGAAGAGTATCAACAGTAGTTTTTTCTTGGACACGACCAACGAAAATGCGAGTCACTATCGGTGATCCTATATCACCCTACAAGCAGTTCAATGCTTCAAAACAACATAACAAATGAAATTTAAATGAGAGAAAACTTATACTTCTATCAAAGGTAGTAAACTTTGAAGAACTCATTCACTGCAGCTTATATGTAGTACGTAAAATATTTGAAAATGGGTATATGCATAAAATATTCAAAGATGGGTACATATGTTTGAAATATTCGAAGATGGGTATAACGTCCAAACCAAAAATTTTCAAGCGCTATACAAGCAAAAAGTGGTCACATAAAACATATATGTTCTAGGAAAGATAAAGAGTGACACGCGTAGCACGAATGAAGAGGAAAAAAAAAGACCATTGTAAAACGAGATCGAAACCGAAAAGAAGGCTATGTGGTCGTATAGTCAGGATATCAGAAGTCCGAGAAGCAAATGGAGGATGAACGGAGAAAAACTGCACATCGAATCATGGAAGAAAAGAATGGGAAAACAGATGAGATTGTAAAGAGCTCCGTTAAAGATGTAAGAAACAAGACCACTCTGCCAGTTTACCAATCAGGAATCAGTAGGATTGTTACACTTGAAGTTATCAACCGAAGAATCGAGGTTCCACATGGCCAGATAAAATGCTGACGGCGGTTCTTCGCCGTATCGAGAGGATGCCGAGAGGAAGATGGCCCTTGTGTCGTTCCCTGTATTGTGAGAAGTTTGTGAGCGCGATTAGCCTTCAAGAACTGAAAAACAAGCGAATGCTGCAATCACCATTATAGCAGATCGTTCGCGCTCGCAGAAACGTTTCTTGGAGGAGTCAACAAGACATGTCAGAACACAAGATATGTGCTTCAAACAAAAAACACCACACGAGTCTAAAGTTTATGTAGATGTAAAGGATAAATACCTTATGCTAATGCAAGAAGCACGAAGACATGATAATGACCAGACAAACTGGAAGCGGAAAATAATCCCCAAAGTTGACCCACTTACACTTGGAGCGTTAAACCAAGCGGCGAGTGAATATGCCACAAAGAGTCCCACCATTTCAATGACTGATCCTGTAAGGCAGTTGCAGGTGGCACAACAATGTTATGAAGAGATGGCAAAACGTGAAAAGAAGCGATCGGGGTGGAAGGCAAGCATAGAAAAGAAGATAAATGTGAACAACTTTCACGAAATCCTTATACGAAAAGAGAGGTATTTGGCCGGAGAGACACTTATAGGTAAAAACTGAGATCTAAGAAATATTGAGAATCATGAATCCCATACTTGGCTCTTAAAGGTAACTGTCATGAGACCCTAAGCATGCTTGACAGAACGTGTGAGAGTTTATGAAAGTAAAATAAAGTTATGAATCCCAATGTGCATTTAAAATTCAAAACGCCAGATTTGAGTTGTTTAGAAGACGTTTTTATAGAAGTTTGACAGGCAATTTATAGAAGTTTGATCGAAGAACAGCCCGTAATCCACAATGTAAGGGAGAGTAGAGATTAGAGAGTTCTGGGCCACGATGTGGAAATCGAAAATGGGAAAAGATGACAATATCCAGCACACAAATATCTGAAGAATTTATTCCAGACTCTGAAATACATGATATTCCCCATCTGAAGCCAAATTTAAGAAGATAGTTTCCTGTGTGCCCAACTGGAAAGCAGTCCTGATGGAATCTACAACTTTTAATTAAAAAGTGCACCTCCTTATCCAGATCTGTATAAAATAACTAGCGGATATGCTCGGACGACCTATGGCTCCACAAAAGCACGACGTATCAGATTCCTAAAAATGTTCCAAACAAAGGTAGTGATTTCAGGCCAATAAATTGCATGTCAAACCTTCACAAGTTGATAATGAAATGAGGGCAATATATACAACTAGATATTACCACGAGAAAACTACTTTGCAAATAACCAATTAGGAACTGTTGGAAAGGTTGAAGGTGTGAAAGAGCAGGCATTCTTGAGCCTGGCGGTCTGCAGAGAGCATGGAAAACAGTTATTTACTACGCAATATGACGTCAAAAAAAGCGTTCGATTTAGTGAGCCACAACTATTTGATTAGGTGTATCGAAAAGCTCAACATGCCAATGTGGATTGTTAGGTTTTTGAGAAGCATCACCTTCAGATGGTCGGTTACATTAATAAGCAATGCAGAAATTATAATGGAGAAAAAAATACAGCGGGGAATCTTCCGAGGGAACAGCCTTTCTCCGCTGTTGTTTCGTTTTATGCATGGACCCGTTGAGCCGTAGGCTTAATATCAGATACCCAAAGGTGGAGGTTCCAACCAATCAAGAAATGCATGTAACGAACCATTTATTATTTGTGGATGATCTCCAGCTTCTTGCTGCCAACGAGGATATCATAAAAGCTACGGCAGAAGAAGTTTAGAAGTTCTTTGAAATAGTGGGGTTAGAGGTGAATCCAACAAAGTCAGCCACTAATACTCTGATAAAGCAGTATTTTAGGAAGGAACTCAAGGGTATAAACCTTGGCATAATGGAAGACAAGACTAGCGCTCTGACTCGAGAAAGCCACGATAAAGTGCGGGCAGAGATTTTAGCTAGAATTGATTTTAGGCTAGCCAAAACTGCACTAAACGAAAAGAACTTTATCAAGGCAGTAAATGAGCACGCCACAGGATCAATAAATTATTACACTGGGGTGCTCAAACTGGAACCAGAAGACTTCCGAGCAATTGACCATGATATCAGGAAGTTACTAACTAAATATGGAATTAAATCCAACCTGCATGTTTGGAGAGACTGTACCTGCTCGAGCTAGGACGTGGACTTCATTGCGTCGAACAAAGAAGTGAGCTTAT